ACCAATGATGCATGAAATTTTGTATAATATGATGTCATGGGGTAGGACTGGATAAGTTTGACTTCTTCCTACTCCATTCAAACATGTAATAGGTGTAAGCAAACTGATTTTGAATTAGCATTGGTGGGATATGTGTAATCATGTGTGTTATTGTCATTGTTCATTGTTGTTCTGTTCTGTTCTGTTCTGCATGTTTGAAAGAATAAATCAATCAATCAATCAATCAATCAATCCCCTGTTTACCACCAGCTGCACCTGATTAGTTCTCCCTATTTATTCCCTGCTCTACGTTCACTCCCCTGTCAGTTCTTTCTAGTATCATCAGGCCCGTTTGTTTCTCGTTGTCATTAGCTTTATATTGTACTCATGTTTTTCTTTTTCGCCATAGTCTCATTATCCTCCCCTCTGTCGCTCCTCCGGACCACGGACCTCCTCAACCCCGCACCATCTCCACCACGCAGGTCGATGCACAGTCTCCCATTAACTGCATGTACAAACTCTGTCTCCTCAGCAACCTTCCACCACGACCAGCCCAGGAGTGAGTCCCAGCATCCGCCGCCCGGTCTTTCCCTCATCATTTCACCACTGACTGTTATTCACCTTCTGCGGCTCGACACCCGCTCCCACTTCTACCTGGTTATTCACTTCCTTGTTGATATCACTGTAAATAAACTGAGCACTGCTTGCACTGAAGTCAGCCACCTGGGTCCGTCATTTTGTGAATCGCTCACCTCTGTGTCCGAGCGGATCTAACAATTTCTCTCTTTGGCTCAACGAATATTAGCAGTATTGAGAAAATTGAGTGAATGAAGCCTTTACCAATTGCGTTCAGCACCAGTTGCACACTGATCTCTTCATTTCAGCCCGTTCAGCACGCTTTTAGCATGTTCATGCACAACACTGACAAGAACAGTAGCAAGTTAGACTTTCAGGCAGGAGACTGGAGACTGCCATGTTATCAACCTGCAATTAGCATTTGCATTATCCAGTCCTAGCCATAACTTAAGCCGAGTTTTTGTCATAACCACAATATGTCAGAAACTCACAATTCTGTAGTTGTCCTCCTCAAATACTGTGGAAATCTGAGATAATACTGGATCAGTGTTTCTGTCTGGCAACACTAGGGCTGCTGGTCATATCTGCTTCCAAACTTATACTGCATGCTGGTCATCACACACTTATTGTGCACAAAGCATCAGCATGTAAACCACTGAAAACTGTTTTTATATTATAACTCAATGAAAACTGACAACCTTATAGAAATGCATTGTAACCTTTTTGGCATCTACTTAATCTTCATCTTTGATTCATTTCAAAGTTTCATTAACTTGTTTTTTTCCATTGGCAAATGCAACTTTCATATGTGTATACTTTATTCTTTGCACTATAAAACATATGTAATATTAATTAAACTTTTTTCATTAGCTTATAGGATATGACTCTCAGTTCCAAGTTTAAATCATTAATTATCATTCCAGAACTTGAGTTTATTTGACTAAATTAATCAAATGAACTGTTATTTGAAATGTTAGTTTATTCTCATATACAGTTCTTTCTATCATGTCTTATATTAGGGTTGAAATTCACCAGAAACCACTTGCTATAAAAAGGAAAAAAAAAGAAAAAACAATAAAAAGGAGGCCCCTATTTACATGGGGTTCCATGATAGACCAGTGGTTAGGGCACAGTGCTCTCGCCGCTACGGCTCAGGTTTGAGTCAGGGTTGTGTCAGGAAGGGCATCCGGTGTAAAACATGTGCCAAATTTCAACGCGTGAATTGTCAGTGTGACAATTTGCTGTGGCGACCAAGCCAAAAGTGACATTCATTCATGTGTACACTATATACAATGTGTTAATTACCAGTTTTTTTTAAAATAAGTTTATTCTAAGTGTCTGAGTCTTCTTCCTGATCAAAAGTACAACAGTGCACTTCAGGCACTTCCTGCATAACACATTAAGGAATACTGTAGCTACTGTAGGATTATTGCAATTGTTAGCAGCACAGAGGAAGCTATCATAGAGAAACAACCTATAAATAAATTATATATATTTAAAATGGTATCCAAGCTCATGTGTGAGCTCAGGCTTGCCCCCACCACTGCCACCAAAACAACAAAAAAAGTTTGATGCATTGTTATATTCTGTTTGTTTTTATTTTCTGCTGTAAATCAATTGCTCTCTGGAACAATAATAGAAATTGAGCACAGGCAATGCCTGAGGGAGAGGGATGCAAGGGAAGGCACAAAGAAATGTAAGAAAGCAAATTTTACTAGGTCCTTGTCTCCAAGCCCCCCTTGTACACTAAATGAGCTCATTCAAGTTTAATTAGAGAGGAAATCCAAGGCAGAACCGTGGCAAATCATCTATTAAACCACTGGTAGAGAAAGGACCACATTAACACATTTTACAGCTACATGCTGTGGTGTTTAGATTACACCTTACAGTATGTCTAGCACTTAACTCTTGGTTTCACATTACTGAATAACAATTTACTCTTCTAGTAAATCTATCAATACTTTCCCATTTGGTAATTGCCAATATACTGAAGCCTGCCTGTATTGGAATTTACTGTATGTCAGTTACTTGCATTAGTTGTCACTTCTACTCCAGTCAGAGTTGGACATTTGCTGTGAAACTATTCCACAAGATGCATTCATTTGCTAAATCATCATAGTAGATTCTACAGCAAGACAACCCCTAAAACCCCAAAAACCAAATAGCTAAAGTGCACACACATTGTGAACAACAGCTATTGTACTATAGCTCATATAATGCAAAGGAATGAAACCATATTAAGCTGACCAGAAAGAAGGTATAATAGGCTTCGTTTTGTGAAATGCATTCACAGCAGTGATTAGACTGTGGTCTGAACTTGACTTAGGTTTGAAAAACCAAGAGATGATGTTATGGTTTGTCCCCCTCACTAGGAGGGCGAGGGAGAACTAAGGTAAGATTCAAGATTGCTGACCCAGGTGCTAGTAAAAAAGATGGTTTAATGCGGAAAATGCAAAGTAAAAAAAAAAAAAACAACGTATCATAGTCCATGTACATAAATCAGCAAAGTAGGGCAGAGATGGTGGAGGAGACCAGGACAAATGAAACCATTAGCAAATGAAAAAAGGAAATCCACAGCACAGGAACTGTCAGTGTGGATATCAAAAATAACGTCTAGCTAACCAAATGGAAAAAACATAAAGAGATCCACAGCACAGGAACTGTCAGTGTGGACGTCTAGAGATGTATAACACAAAACATATAGCGGACGTACAAAATGAGATCCACAGCACAGGAACTGTCAGCATGGAAAACAAAATGACGTACAATACATATACCACAAATATAGGGCTGTTACGGGGTATGCATGTTACAGTAGTTAATGCTCCGGCGACGACGGAACGTCTGTCCAGAGGTATAAGGAAGGTAATCATCGGGATGCACCCCAGCTGTGCGCACCGACAAACGAGTCACGAATTACCGAATGCAACACAGCTGAGGTGCAGATCCCGCAGGATCGAGAGCGCAGAGGAGAGAAAGGCGGAAGAGAGGCAGGTCGCGCCGAGCGGAGCTGACAGATGAGAGCTGTCGTGAAATGTTAATACCTTGTATTACACCCACTTCTCTATACAGGCTGAGCTTACTCTGAGAGAACAGGGAGAAGTGTTTGTCATTTGCGTTCAGCTCAGTGTGGAAGATAAAGACTAAGGTGGTGTGGAGTGCTGAATGTGATTTTTGGGACGTGTGTGTGTGTGTGTGTGTGAGAGATAGAGAAATATTAAGGAGAGCATTTTCTATGTGAGTAGGCACATCATATTTTCTAACTGTGGAAAAACACATTAGCACATTAGAAAATACAAAGAACAGAGGGGAGGGAGTGAAGAACTTAGTTATTGGCCTGATGAGGAAAACTGGATAAAATGGTGGGGCAATGGACATAAAAGAATGAAGAACACAATACAGAATTATCAGGCCGACTTCATGAGAAGAGAGCAGCATAATGAATACATCAGGGAGGCAGCTTCAATACAGCACCAGAATGCAGTTAATGGAATTAATACAAAAAATGGAATAAACTACTATATGTTCTGATAGGTTACTGACAAATATTTTTTTAAAAAGCACATGGGAGCCAGTTAAAAAGTCAGTGACTAGGTGCAACAAAATGAATTCTGTAAAGCGACTTTATTAGTAGCCATGTAGGGGGTCCCCAGAAGTGATAAACAGAAAAAACATCTGGCCTTCCTGAGAGATAGCTCACTCAGGGATGTTGCTGCTTTGCATCATTTAAATGACTAAATTAATCACAGCAGCAGTGTGATGCATGATTAGCTAGGAAATGTAACATGGCTTAGCGCATGAAAGCAATGTGCGCATCTGTATTTTTAACAGAGTGTTGATCATTCTTTATGCAACAAAGACAGATATTCGATGCCCTCAAAAATGTTTGGCCAACACAACTCATCTGAGATGGTTCTGGTGGCTTCTCATCCCAAATAAAACAAGAGTATTGTATTGCCTTCTCTCACTGTACTTAAGTACACCTAGCTAAAACAAATTCAGTCTAATACAGCAGTAGTGCAATAAATCATTCTTTTATGAAGGAGTCAATTTTTGCTCAGATTGTTTTGTCAGGTGACTGACAGGTGTTTCAAATACATTTCTCTATAGTATATTATAGCGAGAACAGCAACCTTTATAAGGGTCATACAGTTGAAAGAACACCTCTCAGCATGACGACAGACTGAGCACCATCTCCTTCACAATGTCAGTAATTCTTGTGGGGCTACATTCATTTCAGATAGGTGTGTAAATAAGTGTAATGCTGAGAATTGAAACTGAACAACTATGACAGATTTATTTTACCCATATGTGAAAATGGTCCATGTTTTAGGCCAATAAAAAGCTTGTATTTTCATGTACTAATTTTGCATTGTGCAGCTTTCTTTTTCCTGTGTCATATAGCTAAATGGTTTGAATGGTTCAAGAGGAGTCACATTATTTACCTTGGCATGTGTCCTTCAAAGACATACGTCTTGTTGTCCCAGTCATCAGGGTCAGGAGAGTATACCTTTCCAAGCACTGTGGTTGGCATACGACCTGATGACAGATAACAAATCAGTTTATTGGTTTAGAGTTTGGAGAAGGACAACTCTTCAAAAAAAAGATCGTGTCTATATGTGACTGACACAGCAGCAAAGACACCTTGGAGAGATTTTACAGCAAATATATTCCTCTGCACTGGTCTTCCAATTTTTCAGGTAAGTGTTTGGTATAAAAATTCAGTCTTCCATGTGTATTTCTATGTGCTGTACATGTGTACAAATGTGTGCTGCATGTGTTAGGTAGGTACTTTATTGATCCCACAGCGGGGAAATTTCTGTGTTACAGCAGCAATAGAGAACAACCAACATAACACCATAAGAACAGACACATAAGAACAGGACTTCATAAAAACACGGAAAAGAACACAACGAGGACACAGCTGCTGTAACTTGCTGCCAGTCCGCGCAGCACAACAAAGAACACTTAGTCTTACAATAAACAGTTACATAAAGGCAACAAAGCATTAGATTAGTTATTAGTTATGCATTATATACCATTAATACCATACATTCAGGGGAAGAGCCTTGGAAACATAAGGATCTGTATATCTTAAATACAGACATAGTGTATCAACAGTGAATAAAATCTAGATAAGTGAAAAGTTTGAATGAACATATTTCAGGCTTCATTCACCATTTCATTTCAGTAGAGCCAAGACGTGACATTACAGGTGATTGTTACAGGTAAAAGGAAATATATAACAGATAATGCTATTTGAAAACACAATGATATCATCATATAGAAGAAACTGCCACCACTCGCTCCCTACCACCTCCTCACATTCTGAACCATGTTGGAATTATTCTGAAGACACCCTGTAAATGTTCAAGGCACACTATGACATGTTATATCTAAGCTTGTTATGAGGGGAAAAGTTAGACACAATTTAAACAATTTGTTAGCAATTGTGGCTTTTCAATTAAAAAAAAAAAAACAATTCATTGCTATTTTTCAGTTAAAGCTGCAAGTTCAGATAAATGAAGTAAATATTTGTCTAGAAATGTTGTCTCCCTGCTGTAAACCCTGCTGTTCAACTGTCAAAGCAAAATTTCTTTAGTTTCATATACAAGTCACCGCTACCTTATAACGTTATGTGTGTCAAGTATGTAACACTGAACGTGATGCAATAGTGTCCTGAACATTAGTACTGTATCAATAGTACTGGGAAAAACATTCATTTGTATAATTTGCTTGTGTTACTGCTTTATGTAGGAAACAGGACCCATGTTCCTGCCACCGAAAACCACAGGCTCTAGGGCAGGGGTCTCAAGCTCGCAGCCCACGGGACGATACTTTGTGGCCCCCACTTGATATCAAAGTTTAGTGATAGTGCGCGCGTTTTATATTTTTTGTCACCTGTGGGTTACCATAGCTCAGGATTGTGACAGCAACGCAAATTAACAACGTTAGTCACTTGAAATGTGATTCGGGAGTGTCACAGAGTGCAGGGAAAATATACCCTGTCACCAAGTGCAAATACGTTTTTTTGGCCACCCAGTCCCAGTCATGTCTTTCTCAAAACCTGCCGTGAAGAGAAAGGTTGGCGATGAGCACAGACAATTTCAGGAGAAATGGGAGACTGAATATTTTTTTGTTGAGCACAGGGGCATCCCGATGTGTCTTATATGCACAGAGAAAGTTGCGGTGCACAAGGAGTACAACCTCAGACATCATTACTCAACCAGACATGCTGAGGAGTATGCAAACTACCAGGGAGATGAGAGAGAGGACCGTGTCGCCAAACTTAAAACATGCCTACTGAGGCAACAAGATTTTTTCAAGAAAGCAAGCAAAGAGAGTGATGCGGCAGTCGAAGCCAGCTACGTAGTGAGTGAGATGATTGCTAAGGCAGAAAGCCATTTAAACATGACAGTTCATCAAAAAGTGCATGTTACAGGCTGCAAGTATAGTCTGTCTGGAAAAGAAGGGTCAGTTTAGCAACATCAGCCTCTCAGACAACACAGTGGCAGAGTGCATTGCTGACCTGTCAGGTAACATTTACAATCAACTGTATGAGAAAGCTAAACATTTCCATGCATACTCAGTCGCTCTTGATGAGAGCACAGACATCACTGACACTGCGCAGCTTACAATATATGTTTGTGGTGTTGACAGTTTTGCAGTGATGGAGGAGTTGCTCACAGTGATTCCAATGCATGGCCAGACCACTGCTCAGGAGATATTCCGCCAGCTGTGTGATGCCATTGTAGATGCCGACTTACTATGGAAGAGTTTTGCTGGAATAATAACCGACGGAGTGCCATCAATGACAGGGAGGAGAAATGGAGTTGTGGCACTTGTTCAAAGAAAATTGGAAGAAGAGGCTGTGGAAGAGGCCATTGCTCTGCACTGCATTATCCATCAGCAGGCAAATGCCTGAAGTTTGACAATGTGATG